GGTTAGGTTTAGGGTTAGGTTTAGGGTTATTTTTAGGGTTACATTACAGCGCGCTTCTGTCGGCGCGCTGTTGTCGGCGCGCTGTTGACGGTGCGGTTTTGTCACCGCGCTTTAGTCACACGCGCTTTAGTCTACCGCGGTTTTGTGGTGGAACCAAAAAGTGAAACAGTTAAATGCTGTAATCTCTATAGGTTTTATTAGTTTAATCTAGGGGACAGCAACTCATGGCTCTTTCATCCCTCTGCTGAGACTCCCTGTTGCCAGTTGGCTCCGCAATTGATAGGACAGGTAAAGGAAAAAGGATGCCACACTAGGAGGAGATTCTATGGTGGGGGAACCAGACTTCCAGTTGGCTCCAGAATTGAATGAGGCTTCTGTTTAGGACTTTTGTGGCTCTTTGAGTGTTTAAGGTTGCTGACCTCTGGTTTAATACTTCAAGTTAAGCTTGACACCTAGACACTTTCTGAATATATCCATGTAATTTTTGGCAATGAAAAGTAAGTGCTCTCATTCCTTCATGTTTTTTTCAGTTTTCTGATTTAGTATATAGCTCTGAGATTTCCTCTTGGTCTCCCATGTGAAACAATGTGTTAGGCAAATAAAAAACTTCTAGACTTCTAGTTTCTCAATGAAAACAAATGTTATGTTAAGGCAACAGGACAACTGCTTGGTGTTAACTAATTTGACAAATAAAAAGTAAAGTCTCCCTAAAGACAAGTACATTTTCTGGCACTGCTTTTTTGCCACTGTCCTCTGGATTTTTTTAAAATTTCCCAGACTTGTTTACAGTTGTGATATTTCCAGATATTTCTCCACCCCACCTCCCAAAAATCCTGGTATTAACCAGAGATGAGCTGCTTTGATTCCAAGATCAGATGACGTTGGTTAGGTGCTGTTGGTTGTTGCGTATATTACTGGCGTAATTTGACAAAGAATTGAAGTTAATCAAAATGTTTTAAGGAAGTGAATACTTCAAACAGCACTGTTCTGGGTATGTGAACAAAACAGAATGCAATGTAATAGTTAAGGACAAACAGAAGCTAGAATTTGTAAAAAGTGACAGAAAGTTACGGGGTTTTTTTTGGCCAGCTATTGTCAGAATAATATATAAAGTACATAGTATAAGAGGATGGTAGCTTTAGGGAGGCAAGATAGAATGAACTGATTCACATCCTTCTCGTGGTAAACTGGTTAACAAAGAATACCCTTACTAGGAAGCCTCCAACCATATTGTTACCAATATTTGTCCAAAGCAAGCAAGGAACTGCTGAGGAACATTGCTCAAAGCCTGGAAACATGAAGGGAAAGATTAAGTCTTCTTGTAAGGAAAGAAAAGGATGTTTTCTTATAAGCAATTGTCACAATTGAAAATATAGGATTGGGGAAACATAAGCCTCCTTTATCTGGGCTGTTCATTTTATACCTCCAGGTCTAGATCATAGAGTTTTCTCTTTTATATGAAGCATCCGGAAATGAAAAGTCCTGAAGAAAAAAAGATAGTATAAATAGTCCATACTTAGCAACAATGATGAAACAATGTTGCAACAATGATGAAAAAGTAACTGGCCTTCACAGATCTGTAAAGAAAAGAAAAGCCGAAGTAAGATCATAAGCACACACCTCTGATTCATTTATTTATTTATTTAGCATATGGCATAAAGTACATAGTTAACAGTAGTAAAATATATATATGGTGAGGTAGAAATATGTAGTCAATTTTGTAAGGTATGAGGAAATCAAGTTATATGTAAGTTACAGGTTACATTTTAAAATACGTGGCTTCATGCAAATGGAGCAAGTGTTCTATAAATTGATATCTGGGCCATTTATCCAATTAAGTGCCATACTTGTTAGTTAAATCTGCTTTTCCTCCTGCTCTCAAGTGGCAAATAGTCACTATGTGTTCCAGTGTCTAATGAGCCTCACAGTTACATTCAGGGAGGGATACTCTGCCCCATTTAAACAAATGTCTTGACAGATAATATACAAGCCACAAATCCTATTCAGGGTTTTCCGCCATTGGCAGATGGCATCATAACCCTCTAATCTCTGTGCTAGGGTGTCAGACATATTTTTTTCTGGAATCTGGACTTAAAAATATTTCAGTGGGATGTTATAGAATTGTATCATTGTAGGGAAGAGCTGAATGCCTTCAATGGAGAATAAAGTGATAATGAAAGAAAAAGTTACATTGTGTGATGTTATCTGTCTTTTTAGTCCTCTATTTCCACTACCCCACCACAGAAGATTTAAATAATAGGTGGGTGGGGAATTGGCCTGTAATGATACTCTGTTTTGGTAGATGAAATATTTCAACAGGGTTGGGCCAGTTGTTTGGAACAAATGGTGAGATGCTTCCCATCCTTTCTTCTTTAAACAAAACTCAGTTCTACTGCCTGTTGCATCTTACCATTGTTGTGACAGCATTGTTTGTTGCACAGCAATTGGGCTTGCAGTTTCTATGGCCTCCTGTTGTTTTTTATCTGCCAAAGATGATCCCAAGCCTCAGTTTCTTTCTAAAGTAGAATTTTATCTCCTTAATATTAATAAAAGCAAGAATAAAAAAATGAAAACAAGCAATAATAGTCAAGCAATACCAAATATAATAAAACAAAAGTACAAAGAAATTGTGCCTTCTTGATCAATAACCGACAAACCACAACATATTTGGGGGAATGGACTAATTTGGACAGTTAAAGGGCATAAAATGAAAGGCTGGCCTTGTACATGTTCAGGAGTTTCAGGTGAGAGAAATGACTAGCTGACAAGGTAGCAATTTCAAATTAAAACAAAAAGGGACACTGAAGAGCTGTGATTTTTCAGATTGAGGAAATTTTTATTACAATGTGACTCTAAACCGCTTAGAGAGGGCTGTAAACCACTGTAAAGCGTTATATAAGTTAAGTGCTATTGCTATATCAACTTAACATAAATTAATGTAATATCAAGTTAATAAAAAGGCATAAGCCCCCCCACTTCCTGTGGTTTTAGCTGGCAGTGATTAATTAAGAAAGTAATAGGGACTGTAGTAGATTTCTTAATGAAATCACTGATCAAATATAAGGCAGCTATCTGGAAAAAGTAAATTGCACATATTGTGGTACTTAGGAATAACATTATGCAGATGTAGAAATAGGAGTATTGTTGAGTTAATGTTTATGTGTGTTTTGTCTTTAAGTGAAATTTTACTTTTGGCAACTATAAAGACAGTTGTATGGTTTGCTACATATAGAATTTGTTTGTTACAAATGAGTTGAGGAAAATTCCAGATACAGCATAGCTCATGTACCCATTCAGTTTTGGAAGATGTTATGGCACTAACGCAAGGTGATTTTAAAAGTGGGATTGAATACATCTGTGGAGAACAACATCACAAGCCATGAAGTAGGAACTCCAGAAGCAGAAGGACAGCAATTATTGAGAGGCCAGTGTGAAATTCTTATTACAGTACTGGTGGGAATCCATTGGGGGTGGGGAGGATTACTAAAGGCCCTTTGAGAGAGCCCTTTGATACTGCAAGGCTAATATAGTTTCCAACTCCCTTCAGACCCAACTTCCCACATTTAATCAAAAACACAGTTCACCCAAACGAAGCTTGCTTTAAGTAGATACCTTGCTTCAGAAGAAGGCTTTCTTAAAGCAATAACTGTAGAAAAGCCTGGCACAGTTTTGCTGGGAAGCCACCCCACCTTTTATAGCCATTAAAAGAAGGAAGTGCAGAGGGAATTAGTTGTCACTCCCAAAGGATCTCTCCTAGTTTTGCAGTGGGGGAAAAATGTGGCTTCAGGGCAGATTTTCTGCCTACCCAATGCTTGCACAAGTCCAGACGTGCCTGGCAGGGGTGGAGGAATAAAGCAGGCTGGTCTGCACTTGCCCACCCACGAAAAATGCTCACATTGACTTGCCTCTCTAGCACACTTCCAAAATGTTGCCTGTGCCTTCGGGAATCCCTGGGAGCTTCTCTCTTCAGGGGCCTTGAGGAGGGACGCAGCTGCAGGTACAAGCAGCCTCCGCATAATTGGCATTCCAGCAGGCCTTTGCTAAGCCCCCTTTCAACCTAGCCCACTCCTGATTAAGGGGGCGCTTCTGCCTCTTGCTTTTCCTCCCTTTCTCCAGACGTTAATCTCAATCTCACATAACTCCTGGGATTTACAAACTACTAAACAAGGCATGCAGGGAGTTGTGTCACCTTTTTTTTAATATATACAATCGCGCCCTGGAGGGAAAAGTAAAACACGCATTCCAAAGTGGTGAGAAGAAACCGAGAGTCCCAGGCACGTGCCCCTGAAGCGTTCAAAGGCCCTCCGGTGGAAGGAGCTGCAAAGGAGAGCTACACGGGGTGGGCTCTCGAGATTCGCCCCCACCCCGTGCGGTTAGGAGGGGCCGCGTCAGGACCCCAAGGAAGGCTACACCAAATTAAGGGCGAACCTCTCGGCCTCTGGGACCACGCAATTTCCCCCCCTCCTTTTTTTTTCCAGGGTCGCATTGGTCTTCTGAAGATTGGTGGGGGGGGAGCACTCTTCCTCGCTTTTCGCGGTGCGTCAGCCTTTGGGAAAGGGCATCCGCCGCTCCGAGGGGGAAAGCTCGTTTCGTGGGAAGGAAAGGCTCGGAGTCAAGGTAGATGGGGGAGGAGGGGGAGGGAACACGGTATACATAAGAGGCGGGACAGACGGAGGTCTTTTGCCCTGGCCGATTGGCAAAGGACCCGGGAGTTCTTGGAGCCGATAGAAAGTGAAGGCAACGTTTTCTTTATTCGCTTTTGTCCTCTTTCCGGAGAGGATCCCGGCGCTAGCCAATACGGTCGCGCGCCGATCCCAAAAGATCGAGGGAAGCGATCCAGACTAGGCAGCTGCAGCGCTGTCAGCTGCGCGCAAAGTTCAGAAGAGGCACGCAAGATCACCCGGACCGAAGTTAGCAGCAGGTGTGAAGAAGAGGGTTTTGGGGGTGGGTGGGCGGGGAGGTCCAGAAAAGGTCCTGTGAATTACAACATTGGTGGATCCTGTCCTGCGTTTAAGCGCGTTGGTCGCAGTTGGTTTGCGTGATTTCGGGAGGGCATGGTGGTTATACCTCGTCCTTAACTGGGGAGGCCAGATTGGGCAGAGCTGTTCTCGAATTGTTTCTCTGCTAGTCTGCTGAAGCCGCGGTCGAGATTCGATTCGTCCCCAAGGCGAAATAAAACTTTCTTCCTTTGTTTTTGCTGAGAAATAAGTTCTCGGGGCGCGTGGCGAATACTTGCCTCTACAACAACGGCGATGTTGTTTATTAGTCTGTGAAGGACACGTAGAGACCTAGTTTTGGGGACGTCCTACTGACGACCTTTCAATCTTTCGGGGAGGGAACAAATGGCTTTCTTAAACTTAAGATCGGGCATATGGAGCCGCACTAAAATACAGGGAGATCTGCCGCCTGGGCTATGGCCATCTTGGGGAGGACCTGAACATACGGCCACTGGAAAACAAGACCCCCATTCCTGCATTATTCATTTATTGGATATATGACCTGTTTTCCTTCCCAGAAGGAGGATTTGGGTAGTTAAAGACAGGCACCAGGTTCTTTTTTAAAATAATAATAATAATAATCAAAAATTAAAATTTATACAGTATAATATAAAATTCAGCCCAAAATAAGAAGAAACAAAAATAAGTAGAACCCTAAAACACATTCCATTTTTTAAAAATCTGCTTTTTATAAAATGCTTATTAAAAAGCTGTGTCTTAACTCATTTTCTAAAAGAAAGTACATCTCCCAAGGGAGGACATTTCTTAATTCTGGAACCATTGGGGGGGGGGCGCAAGGTAAACTTTTCTTCAGTTAAGCTCCTCTTTTGTGGGTTTTATCAAGAAAACATCTGGCAACAAGCAGAATGTTCTTTCAACATGGGAGTTAATGGGAATGTGAGGGCAGCATAAGGCTTTGTTGACAGCCCCACTCTTGTTTATTCTAAATTATTTCCAGATTAGCAGTTCGTTAGAAAATAGGCGGCTGAGTTAGCTTGTTTTCCCCTCTCTCCTTTCTCCTTTTCGCTTTTAAATCAGGCTTTCACAATCAGCCCTTTAGACAGACTCCCACTGCAAAGGTTGAGATTTTATTGCCCAATACCTTAAGGTGGCTTTTTGTCCTCTATTGTCTGTACTGATAAGCGTGACTTTCCCAATGTTATCTATAAGCCTACTGTGATCCATTTAAAAACAGGAAGAGTCTGGTAGCACCTGCACCTTGTCATATTAACAAATTTTATTGAAAAGGCATAAGATAAAAGGTGTGGAAATAATGGCTCGGCAGCCTGGGTCAAAGAACACAGAAAAAGCACGCAGCTTTGGGGCTGGTTAACACCCTGAAAGCCCACCCTTTGCCTTTTAATTCATTTTTTTAACATTGTTTTAATCATCCTTACCTCTTTTTAAATTTTAACTTTTCTATACCACCTTTATGCGTTAATATTTTAATGGACACCTGTCCAAAGTCCCTCTGTGAGGCAGATTAGTAATTCCAAAATGTGATAGATGACGGATGGACTGACACATGGACGGACGGACGGACAGACAGATACCAGTAGAAGAAAGAAAGCTTTCACAAGCTGCAGCTTAATTGGTCAGATGACGTTTGGCTATCATGTTGTAAATACAGGCAAAATCAGGGAAACAATGCTTCAAATAGTTATATGGTAAGGAAAAAGTCAGCAGCTGAAAAGGTTGGATGGGGAGTGGAAGTAGCGTCTCTCACTGGCAGCTGTTTTGTTTGTTTAGGAACTGCTATTCTGAAATAAGTGAAGGAAATACATTTGTGACTTGATCTAAATCCAAGGCCACTGCTACAGAAAAGCTTTGTTGTTTTCCATAGGTTTAGCTTCCATCGGTATCCAATAAACTCTGCAAGCCAGTTTAATTCACCTGTTACATTTGTTACAGTAACGTATTTGTTGTGGGCTGGGCTTTGCTATTTGGATGAGCAGCCGCTCTGCAATGTTTGTTCTGACCGAGGCTTCCCAAGAGAATGACGCAAATCCTTGTCCCAACAAAAACCACTTTTATTAATTTACAGTGAATTCTGCTCATTCACATCTAACAAAGTCTTTCAAGGGAGGATTTACAGTCACAGACCTTATCTGGCTTGGAGAGCTGACAGGCCAATATCTGCAAAACTTGGCAAGGAGTCTCAGAGAGTCAGGAACCAATTAAGCGAATTAATTGTCTCTTCCAAACTCCACTCCACTTTCGCTCCTCTTTTATTTCTTCTGGGAGGGGCCATTCATTGTCCAGCTGTGGCCTTATTCCCCTAGGAGACCCTTGTTCTTTAACTGTTCCCTTCGTCTGGCAACACTGTTCATGTGCACACTGGGAACAGGCTCCAGCTGTTTGTCTGCCCCACCGATGTCTAACTCCGAAGGCAGCTGATAACTGGCATACGGCCCAGGCCCCGTCTCTGCCTCTGACACAGAGCCCTCATCAGAACCTTCCCCAGACTCTGAGGCTGGCCCATGTTCCTCCCCAACTTCCTCATTGTCCGAATCTGTTGCCAGCTCTGCTGGCTGCTGGCAGG